CAAATGAATTTCTTGGCCCAATAGACAAATAAACTAATCAATTTGCAACTTTTTAATGCTTTCAACACTACAAGTTATCCCTTAATCAAACAAATTCTAAGAAGACAACAAAATTTCAATTCCCCCAACCAAAGGTATAAAGAAAGGATTGTGGGTGGGTATGGGTCTCTTATTACAATTGCCTTAGCACATGCCAGTGTTTAACATTGGTGTAAGGGCTATTGTTGTTCTATTCAGCTCGGGAGCTTAAGTCAGTGACCCATGATCGCCTTAACAAGAAATTGGGCCGACCTCCAATTAAAGTCATCAATCTCTATGGATTGTGTTTGTTACAAGCTACAAATACAAGTTTAGTCGTGTCCGTGGCAAGAGAATCAGAGGGGTGTTCTTCAAAAAATAAGAAGAAAAAAAAAAGTTTGTATCCCACTTACATTCTGCAAAAAAAATAAAATAAAATTTTTAAATTTGTCTGCATTATTTTCTGCTCTCCAAATTTAGCACAAAATTTGTGTCAATAGTGTTGAAATAGAAAAGCAATACAAAATATTTGTGCCTAATCAATAACCTAAAATAACTAAACAAAGGGTTGTTGATACAATCATGTAGGTTTAAGATAAAAACGAAGTTATTGATACAAACACATTGAGAGTACTAATGGTATACTGATGGTATATCTGAGTGTGCAATATCTTTAGTAAACTTCCTTATGTTTAATGGGCATAAAAGGCTAAAGTTCTATAATTGATGAAATGGAAGCTCTTTAGTTTTTAAAACACTATGTCTAAGAGTTCCTTTGATGCTCATTGCCTATACAATAGCAATTAATTGTTTCATTGAAAAGCCTTCATCCAAAACCTTTTGTTCATGGAAATAGCCACAAGAAAACCCTTGAGTAGAGCTTTCTTTGGTGTGGTGCCCTCTACACCCAAAAGCCATAGAGGCCTTGATACCAAATGGTGAGATCGGTAATCTCCAACGAAGGAAAACATATAGAGAACAACTAACAATAGTGACACTAAACCTTAAATTTTGCAACCTGATAAGGCCTAGTGACCCAAGCCTCTACACAAGTAGATGATGTTAAGAGTTTAAACTCTATGGCTCTAGATCGAACCTCACTAGAGAGAAACAGGAAAGAAGAAAACCTTGGAGACCAAGGAAAACTTTTGTATTCAAGGCTCTAGTTGTTTGCAATACAAATGCCAAGCCAGAGTATTTATGTATCCTAGTTCGCGTTTGCGAGCGTTTGTTTGAAACGTAAAAAAGTAATGATCATCAGAGTAAAAATGTATTTTCTAACAGTTTTATACTCTAAGAAGAGAGCATTACTGTACCTATTTTTTGGATACAATTTCGTGTTCTTTTGATAATTAACTTTTTGACCAAAGTTAATGCATTGAAGTATAAGATAGTTGGAGCATTTAATGATGGGCCTACACTTTTGCACCAATTTCAAACAAACAAGATGAATGTAAAAACGGTTTAAAATGTGAATCGTGTTTGCATTTATGAACCAAAAAATGGGTAAATATGTAGTGTACATATTTACATTTGCATTGCAACCAAACGCAACTTAAGACTCAAAAACTGTAATTTACAAAGCTCGACCTTGGTTTATATAGTGTATATTGATATGTAAATTTTGGGACCAAGAAGTGAAGTAAATAGGGCCCAATATAAGAATAAATAAAAATAAGCTATTTGGTCCACCAAGAAAAGAATAACAAAAATTGGGCTCAAGAAAGATGTTGGATGGGACCCAATGTGAAGTGTAATTAGAAAATAGGCCCCCTATTGTATTCCTCAAAAAGATTTAACCAAGAGAGAGAGAGAGAGAGAGAGCATTAAATCTAAACCCAAGAGTGTATTGGGTATAGGGCCCACTACAAATCAAATTGAATAGGAGCAATGAGCACCTACCATGTGGAGGCTTGAATATTGAGACAGCCCACCATTAGAAATTAGAAAGATTTTCTTAAACTCTCAAATCAACTAGAGAGATTTTCTCTAATCAATTTTAGTGGGGCCCAATTGATTGGAAATAATGCCTAATTAGCAATTTGGTTGAAAGGTAGATATGGTTGGCTGACTCAATGAAAACTCCCATCAAATTACTTCAAACAAGAAATCTTCTATCAAATTGTTGTAATCAAGATCTTCATTGAATAATTACAACCAAGGGACCTTCTACAATTAAAGTCGCCAATCTCTACGAGTTGTGTTTGTTACAACCTACAAATACAAGTTTAGTCGTGTCCGTGGCAAGAAAATCAGAGGGTGTTCCTCAAAAAACAAGAAGAAAAAAAGAGTTTGTATTCCACTTACATTTCTGCAAAAAAAATAAAATAAAATATTTAAATTTGTCTACATTATTTTTTGTTCTCCAAATTTAGCACAAATTTTGTGTCAACAGTGTTGAAAGAGAAAAGCAATACAAAATATTTGTGCCTAATCAATAACCTTAAATAACTAACTAAACAAAGGGTTGTTGATACAATCATGTAGGTTTAAGATAAAAAACAAAGCTGTTGATACAAACACATTGAGAGTACTAATGGTATATCTGAGTGTGCAATATCTTTAGTAAACTTCTTTATGTTTAATGGGCATAAAAAGCTAAAGTGCTATAATTGATGAAATGGAAGCTCTATTGAATTGTTGCATGTACTTTAATGTGAATTTACACCATTATCATCCTCTTTCTAGCTAATAAGGAAGCTCAAAGAAATCAAGCATTAAGGCTAATCAAGAACTTAAAGGCTTTGGAACTGTTGAAGATTGATCTACCACAACAAATCATAAATGAGTCAAGAAGTCTACATCAAGTTGTATTTAATTGTTTTCATCTTTTCAGAATCTTGACATAAACCAGTTGTATGATTCATTCCATATATGTTCAACAAGTTTAAACTTAGACATCCTTAGAAACCATAATCCTTATTGGGTTTGATTTCTTGGCTTTTCTAACCTTAAACATGTTATAAAAGTTAGGAGAATGTTTTTAAAATCCAATGTTGGTATTTCCAAAGCTATGGGTAAAATGTGCCAAGGTTTCTAAGTGTTTGGCTTATTTGTCAAGTAAATTGGACCTGACTATAAGAAGTAGTTGATTAGCCAAATAGATGCGTTAACTAATTGTGACAACTGAGGCATACATAGCCAGAACTGATAAGTAGTCGACTACTCTGGATATATGTGTCAACTAATTGTGACAACTGAGGCATGCATAGCCAGAATTGTGATACATAGTCATCTACTCCAAATATATGTATCAACTAATTGTGACAACTGAGGGAATGCATAGCTAGAACTATGATAAGTAGTCGATTACTCTAGATATGTGTTGACTAATTGTGACAATTGAGGCATGTTGCCTAATCTGAGAAGATGTGTCAACTACTCAGTAAACATGTATTGACCACTTAGATTAATTGAGCTTACAAGCTTACTAGTCGACTAAGGAGAAAAAAGATTCCTCCCTTTATATGTTGTAGTTGACTATCATAATAGTGCAATTACTTACCACAAAGAAATTTGACTGTTTGAAGGTTCTAATGGCAATGGCCACTACTAAATTTGGAAAACCTTATATTGAGTTGGAGGAAATTTGAATCATTTCCTAAAGAAGTAAAGTTCCTCCAACGACTAGAAAATGGTTACTTGCTCTCAAATCCTCTATAAATAGAGGCTCTTAGTAGCTTGATTCAAAAAAATGTAAGAAAGCAAGAACAAGTTTTGAATCAAGGCTTGTGAAAAGCAACTTGTGCTTTCACTTGTATATATTGTATATAGTTGTTTTTTAGAGAGAGCAAGATAGAGCTAAAGTCCTTTCGGAGGAGATCCTTGAGCTTCACCAGTGTTAGAGGTAAGCTTTGTTAAAAAGCTTTTGAGCTTGTTTCTCACCCGTCTATTGGTATCCTCCTCCTTGAGCTTCATCAGTGATCATCATATTTGTTTATCAATAGGAGTAAGGCTATTTTCATCCTATACATCCCAGACCCTGCAATGGGAGAGCCTCATGCTGGGTTGCCATTTTTGTCTTTGTTTATCAAGAAGAAGAGAATACAAATACATTCTTAAGAGTAGATAGGGGTGCTGAGACCATAGGCTGTGTTTGGTTGCAGTGCAATTTTATTTGTATTATTACAAATGCATGAGAGTGCAAATGTAAAAAGTGCAAATTCTTGTTTAATTTTGTTTTGGATTTTACTTTATTATGCTTCATGTCTTAATTTATTTAATTCATACAGCAATCAAACAAAATAAGCTTAAATTTGAAACAAAAATAGGTTAGAATTTACACTCAAATCATTTACACAGTCGGCTCAGTTTGGAAAGAGTACAATGCAAATATATACAGTACAAATATATATAAAATAATATAAAATACAAGGTTTTGCACTCTACATATTTGCATTTATACTCCTTCCAAACTAAGCCGTCATGGTTTTGCATAAGTGCAAATTTATTTGCATTGCAACCAAACACAGCCTTAAGAACCAACCCTGCATTATTTAGCTTGTAATTTGCAACCCAAATCCAACTCGACCTAGAATTTGGTTAGGCGCCATGCATAAGTCCGACTTGATCCCCACTTGAGTTTTCACCAGTCATTTTGAACCATATCAATGACCTTGGGAATTTAGATCTATTTTCGATAATGCACTTATAAAATAATAGAGTGTTAGATAGACTATAGAATATATTACCTTCTTCTTTCCATGAGGACATGACATGGGAATGCGTAATAATTAGAGCCTAGCTAGGATTGGTGGAGAAAAGAAAGGGAATTCTACCCAACCTTGTGGATATTATTACCCTACAAAAATCTCCTTAACTCATTAGTACTGTTTATACATGATACAGCTTCTTTAAACAATAAACAAATCAAAGGTACTGATGGAGATGGAGAATATCGGAAGTGTGGAAGTAATTTTTATGTTAGAGAATAAAAAAGGACGACTAAGGGAATTGAATATATCTAAGGGGAGAGAAAAATTCAAAAAAGTGAGAGGCTTTTGGACATAAAGGATCGTTAATACCAGTTCCAGATATAATTTTGGGATGTCATGATAATTTGAGGCCGACAATAGATGGAGGAGCTAGCTCATCAGTCATCATGTATTGTATTCTTTAATATCTCGTTACAGTCTTCTATATATGAACTCATATGGCGACCATACTAGTGGACCCCACACACACACAAATGGGGAAGAGAGAGAGAGAGAGGAGCACTTTTATTAACAATTGAGGCTCAGAATGCATGTTCATTTCTCATTCCTTCAATGGTGAATTATCAATCTAGTGCTGCTTCTGCTGCTGCTGCTCTGTAATGTTGCTTGGCTTTGTTGTTTCTATGATTCGATCTGCAGTTCCAGAGCTCATGTTCCTGTATATGGATCTTGACAAGTTCGATACAAATGACAAACTCAGGCTAACTATATATGACAGAAACCACATCAAGCCAAACCAAGTAATTTAGTTTGGTTTTGTATAAGAAAATAGAATCTAGCCAACCAGGATTAGTAGGGTTTTCTCACTTTTTTTTAGTTTCACCAAAAATTGTAGTAAGCTGAAAGTTCTCTCTCTCATGGTACACAGAGAGAGAGAGAAAGAGAGTACAGATCCTTGAGAAATACTCTTTGAGGGCCCTATCATCATTGAGAGCCTAAGTAAGGTCTTTGTATCTAGACTGATGACCTAAGGTAACAGTACTGTAACACATGACTGCAAGCTCCCAAGTCCTTCACAAATGAGCCAATGGGGTTTTCTCAGAAGATCTTGATTATCTTTTTCTATTAAAATCTAAGTTTGTTAATGGATCCGTTCAATTAAAATCTTGATTATCTTTTTCTAATCCTATTAAAATGTTATTTCCTATTCAAAAATTCATGCATTGTTTTTCTTTTTAGAGCAATTCTACAATATATATGCTATGGGAGCTAGTACCACAAAATGCACTTTGCGCTGTAAAAGTTGCACTCGTGAAATGTTTCATTTCAAGTATGGGGGTCTCATGATGCAAAAGCACAAAAACATGGCTGCAACATTTACATCCCAATTTGTGGTGATCAATATTGCATCACAGAGTTTGCTTTGTCCTGGGCTGCAGTTGTTCCATGTAGAAGGGGCAAAAAAGAAAAAATTTAGCTGTAAAAGGGCCACAAAGTTCTCTTCCAAGGTGAAATAAATGGAGTCCAAGGAAAACGTATGTACTCTATCTGTATCGGATGCCCTTGAACCTGAATTTGATCTGGACAGGCCTCCATTTATGGAACCAGTTTGTAATTAACCAGATGGTCTGGTCCAAAATGTAAGCTTAGATGCTACTATATCTGGCACTCTATCATGCAATATTGGATAATTTGCATGTTAAGGATCGTCTCAGTTGGTATTGCATGGACTCTCCCAAACTGATGGTGAGCCTTTCGAAAGAGTACAAATACAAATATGTACAGCTAGCGCAAATACATACACAATATAAGGTTTTGCACTCTACATATTTGTATTTGTACTCCTTCCAAACTGAGCCTTTAGTAACAAAGGCACCAATTTTTGTAGGTATATAATGTTAGAATTCAAAAGTATAGTATTTACATTTTCCATAGACTACACGTACGTCCAAGAATCCATGTTTTCTCATCTTGCTGAGTCCAACTCTTGGACACGCATCGGATTCTGACTCCCATGTCCATGTCCATACAACACTGGCCTCAATCAAACTATGGCATGTGATAAAAAACATTGACAAAAATAATTAAGAGACATCAAAATTAACAAGTTGCATTTAAGTAAATAACCTTATGGCTTAGTGGGAAGAGCATCTCAAATCTCATTTGGAAGGAGCTTGAGTGATCAAATGCAAAGAATCTATCTGTAACAGGTTGTGGTCTGCTTCAACCTAACTTGAATAAAAAAGAACATATTTGATATTTTAATGACAATGCTCTTCCTGTGTTGTCTAATCAGACCTGATGTTCATCTCTAAAATAAATAACCCTTTCAATCAATGCTCGAGGGACAGGCTTAATTACTAGTGTATACAACCAAAAAGATTTCAAACTTGGCAGTCTCTTTGAACCAAAAAAGAAGTAAGGAGGGACATCCCTACTAAAAATGGAAAATATTCTCCTATTATTTTTCTCTCATCTCTATTACAAAATTTATCAGCTAACCCTGCCATGTCTAGAAGGAGTCGTGTTTTGTTTTTCTTGTTTAAGAAACTTAAAAAAACTAATAAGATGATTGGAGGTGGGGCCTAATTTTAAGTAACATACAACAGCACTATATATAGTTGGGTTGTGTTACATTCAGGTGTAGAACTCCATATAGTGATCCAGAGCTTCAGTAGTACTGTCCGGTCTGGTTTATTAGTTGTTATATCTCTTCCTTTAGTTACAACCTTAATTTCATTCACTTTTCTCTGCAACAAGCCTCCCTCCTTTCCATCCTTCATGGCTTCATCATCCCAAGCAGTCCTAAAGTTTACTCTAGTTGTGGTTATCCTTCTAGTTCAAAACTTCTATGTGGTTCTGGGAAGGAATAAACTAGAGCCGCATGCATCTTTGGTCCCGAAAGACAGTACTACTACCAAGACCAGATATCCACCTGTCTATGGCTTCTCGTTCAACCATTACAAGAACATGGAGACTGATGCTTTTCGGCCCACAACTCAGGGTCATAGCCCTGGCATGGGCCATGACGACCCACCAAGTCTGAAGACTTAAGTAGTCAGACTAGCTCTATATATATATATATATATATATAGCTACGCCATGCATATTACTGATATAAGATGGTTTATAGTGATTGCTTCGTCGCATAGGTGCAGATGGGTTTCTTCAATAGAAAATAAGTCTACTCCAGAGAGTAGTTTAATCTTCAGGGTTCTACTGTAGTTTAGTTATATGCAGAAAAGTGTGTTCAGGTAAGAGTTATAGGGAAGCTCAAGGCAATGGTGATTGCATGAGCTGACTCTGTGTAAATTAAAATTGGGTTTGTTCATAGTTGTTTCCTGTTGTGAATTATGAATGCATGGCTCATGTTTGCAGAGATCAAAGAATTAATAATTAAGTGGAGTTTTTATACTGTTTAATCCGACCCAAATTATATATGTATTTGTGTGGGAACCATTAACTGTTCTTTCATGCAACATAAGCCCTAGAAAATTAAACCACTCTCTGTGATCAACTATGGCCATGTTATGGTTGATGTGGCATCAAAGGAAGGGTGATGTGGCAACATAAGTGGAACCCATCATTCCAAAAATGGTTGTATGTTTTACTTTTTTTTCTAAGTTAAGTTTCCTCTCAGATAGTTGCTCTCCATCTTTCTTGGAGTCAAGTATATCCATATGTTTATGTTTTTTCTTTCATTGGCTCATGGAGAATGGTGCTGTGATTGTTTAAGAGCAAGGCAACATGTTAATTAAGGCTCCACTTCTAAACTGTTGTTAATATAGTAAACAAATGAAGGGAGGGGGTTTAGGGGATTTGTTATTTCCGATTAAACACAAACCCCTTAATTTCATGGCATAGATCTGGAAAGCATATCTTACAACTTGTCTCATCACCTTCAGTATCAAATCAGTTCACTTTTCTTTTATGATTTCCAAGACTAGTATATATCCCACAACTTACGTACTTCCCCCCTCAGACATTGGCCTCAAATGCTTATCTAATGGGTCTTTGGGATAGCTTGTTTGTAAAGGATCTGATCATGGTTATTCTAGACTGATCTCTAGGATATCTTATGAAATTCAATTACCCACTAAACTAGAGATCACTTGCAATATTATAATTTCTTTAGGAAAACCCCTGCCTCTCAACATAGCATAATTTAAAACTTTTCGCAATTAAAGAATGACAAATATAATTAATATTCATTTATCCTAATTAGTTAACGGGGAAATGTTTCTCCCATCTTTTGTTCTACTTGTGCATGATAAAAAGAAAAGGAAACGAGAGGAATCCATTCCCTTGTGTCATATGTTAATGCTAATTGGTTATTACATGTGTGTTCCCAATAGCTCAATAGGAACAATATTATTGAGACATACAAAAACGGCATCTTATGCAAAGTAAGGTGGTCATTGGGAAAGTGTACTACTTCCTTACTATAATTTGAGGATGCATTATATCATTAAGAAATGAACTTGACACTTCATTTGGAGCCAAGAAATATGAGCTAATGACTAATGAGAACATCTAATTTCTGGGGGAGATGTTGATCGAGAGGGATCCTAAAACAGAATATATAACTTGTATAAGATGCATGTTTAGTTGATGAATTCAATGTTTAGAGAACCAATCCGGAGGTTGAACCATTTCGTCTTTAGGTTGTGGGTCGTTGTTTCAACTGGGTCAACCAGTGACACCTCATTAGAGTAAAATATAAAAACCTCCCTTGAATTTGAATTTTCTGACAATCATATAAATCTCCCCTGTATTTTCATTTTAATAAAAACCTCCCCTATAATTTTCAAAAAACATACAATTTCCTCCCTTTCCTCATCCTTCCGAACTGAAAGGCTATGTAATGCATATATATTTTTTTTAAATACCAAATTCACCCTTACGGTTATCCATTTTAAATTTACTAAAATTGGTATTTTCTCTGTCATTAACTTGTTATACTCTTCGAGGAACTCCGATTTTCTTTGAAACCTCCGCTATAGTCATTCCTATTGCAGCACTGCCACCACCACCAACGGCAGAATCGTATATAGTTCTATTAGATCTCCCTCCCCCCCACCTTTGCTTCAAAGTAGTGCCACCAGTACAAACCTCAACCCTCAACCCCAATACTTCTATCACTCCCTTTCTCTAGGAACAGAAACGGCCGGGGGACTGTGATGGTGAGGATGAACCATCACCAGTGTCGTCACTGCCATTATTATCTCCAACTGTCTCCACTGTTGCAATATCTGTAATAAACTCACCACTGATTTAAGTTCCTGTGGTCTTTCCTAAATAGGAAACCATCAAAGATATAAAAAATTAACGACAGTAAGTTAAGAAACACAAACCCAAAACTGAGCCTGCTTTTAGACTGTAATAGAAAAAGTCCCTAACTATTTTGAACTATAGAATTGAATCACATAGTAGTATCCCTACGTTTCTCTCTCTCTCTCTCTCTTTGTGGTGTCGTTAGTATTGTTTTTCATTGAGGTATTCCTCAGAGATGATTGGCATGCTCCTTGAAGTTAGCTGCAATCTCGTCTTTGATGACAGTTTCATAGTGATGGGTGGAGACGAGGACAGTGTGGATGCGGATAGGAATCATGGCACCATTGTCATTGTGGTACTCAAAAGTAGCAAAAGAAACAAAACTACGGCCATTAGCTTCTGAGAACAGAACACAAAGGAAGATCAATGGATTGCCACTAGAGAAAAAGACATAGTGGTATTGCTGTGTTGGTGGGTTTTGAAAAGAAAAGGAAATTAAGAATCCAACCATTAAATAATCTACCGAGGCTACGGAGAAAGGTATCCATTTGGGGCAGGCGTCGAGCAATGCATCCGATTTGATCGCAAAGCTTTTCTTGGCCTTCATTCACATATTCAGATTGGATAGAAAGGTATCCATTCAAAAAGCTTGACAAAGAGAAAGGAGATATTGCTACTTAAGATGTTTGTTTCAACTAAACTGGTGTCAGATTTTTGGGAGGGATTTAATCGAAGGATTCTGCTCACTAGGCTCCGTCAAACGGATCAAGGGACGGGGGGATCGATTTCTGAACATGGTAGTGAGTTGGCTCATCCTAGGTTACCCAGTTTCTCTCTCTTTTGTCATTTTTATTTTGAAAATTTAAGCCAGATATGATAGGGCCATAACGGTGATAAAGGGCATTTTATTAACTACAACGTCTTTATCATGGAAAAGTCAAATAAAGGGAGGTATATGCATTTTTTTAAACTATAGGGGAGGCTTTTGTTACGATGAAAGTATAAGGGAGGTTTTTATGGTTGTCAGAAACCTCAGGGGTGGTTTTTATATTTTACCCTAATATTTAATCAAACATATTCAAAATATATTAAATTATATTCCATATATATTTGAGGGAAAAAAAAGGTATTTTTGGCAAATATAGTCAGCCAAGGTACCTTCCGCCCCTTGGGAGCATAGATCGCGAATTGTTACCTGAAACCAAAAAATAGATCGCCCTAATCAGACAACCAAGTATAAAGCTGTAGCCTTCAATAACAAAAAAACAAAACATGGTCAGTTTTACGAAATTGGGACTAGTTCACTGGTTCCCTTGGAATTTTAGGTCAAGTTTGGCATCAATTATCAGGATTCTCATTTTTAGAATCCTAGAAAATGATGGATTCTGAGAATTTTCATTCTGAGAATCACCTGTCTTGTTTGGCACAATCATCTAATTCCTATTTCTCAGAAATAGAATCGTGTTTGACAGCAACCAATTTTTTTGAATCAATTCGTGTTTGGCACAATCACCTGAAACTTGATCGGCACCAGAGAACAGGAATTTGACATAGAACACTGGATCTATAAGGAAGGGGAAGAAGAAAATCGAGCATCAGAGGGTAGCTAGGGAGAAGAAGAGATGCAAGAAACACAGACAATAAAAGCTATAGATTGACTCGGTTACCTGGAACTGGTGAAGCGACCGGCACCGGAATCCTTCTGGAGTACAAAGTCGAAGGGATGCTAGGGAGAAGAAGGGAGAACTGTTGAAAGAAGGGAGAAGAGAAAGAAGAGCTCGGTAGGGTTTTCTCAACCAGTTGAGATTAATGTTAGGGAAATTATGCTTACACCCCTGCCTTCACATGTGAAACCCGCACAAGTGTTTGTAAATCTTAAAGCTCCGTGGCGAGAATCGGAGGCTTGCTAGAACCGTGATTCTGTGAAGTGAGATCTTTTCACTCCATGGAATCGCATGCCGGGATGAGTTTTCTCATCCTGATTTGAATGAGAATCAGGCAACGGGTTTGCACCAAACGCGATTCTCATCTCGAGAATCACAAGAAACGCCAGAATCACTCCCGGGGAGTGATGCCAAACAGGGCTTTACTGCCTTATAGCCTAACCAAACCATTCAGTGAACTGATTCATGGTTTTACTAGTCAGACTAGCTGGTCCGATGCGATTCTCTAAACATTATTAAATGAAATTGAAAATTTTCTTAAGATGGATCTCCTTATTGTATTATGAAGGTCTTTGTGTTTCTATTGATTTATGATTTAAGTCTATGAGGATGTTTGGCTTGGCTGCATTTTACGACAGTTGCATGAACATGCTACACCAACATTTGCGCTTAAAAAATCATAAAGTGCACCGGGTATTGTCCGTTTCTACACAAACAGGTCCGGTTGCAACTCGGGTTGGCATTTTACACTATTTTGCGCTTTGGCCTTTGAATCAGGTTCATTAATCAAATTTTGGCGAAAGCTTAACCCGAGCAAACCCTAGTTGTACCCCTAAAAATAGGTACGTGATGGGGATATTTAGAGTTTCAAAAATTATATTTTTGATGTTTCCTCCCCTTTGATGTCCCACATTGAAAGTGAAACTGCAGAACATTGTTTTAAGTCGTCACACCCTCATTGTAGCAATTTTCTTTTTCGATAAAAGCAGAAAACTCTGAATGTGATTTCAATGGGTTGTCACATGAGAAGCTTTTTTAAAATTAAGTGATGGAATGCTAAAGGTGGAGCCAAAGTGCAAGATGCTCAACCTTCATGGTGGATCTTTGTCACAAATAAAAGTTCAGTGAGTTAAAGTTTCATTCCCCCAAAAGTACAGGGTTGCAGTCTATAACTTACCCAAAAGAAAAAAAATCATAAAGATTGTCACATGACTCAAATGAAGAGATAACCTGAAATTATTAAGATCCACGAAAAGATTTAGACAAACAATAGAATAAAGTTGGATTACATTACATCTTCACTAGTTGATGTCAAAATATATGCTCCTTTATTCAGTCATTTTCAATGTATAGCATAGTTGATGTGATTTTAATCAGAAAGGAGAAGTCCCACTTTTGTAGGAGACCTCCTATTTTTTATTTACTAACAAGTGTGTACGTGATAATTCTAGATGATGATAATTATAGTAATAATATATCTAAATTTATTTATATTTTATATTTTTTTATTATTAATCAGTTGCAATTTGCAATATCCAAATATAATTACGTAAACACCTCATCCAAATATGTGATAATTAGATCGAATTGTGAAGTTTCATTGACATGCCACTATGCTTGCCTAGACTTTTCTTTTTGTAGTGTTTTATCTTTTTGGTGTATTTTTCTTCTTTTGTTTATTTATCAAAAAAATGAAAGATTTAAATAAAGAGAATTGAATGAGTTGAAAAGTAATAGTTCAACTTACAATTAAATAGGTACTAAATTCAAAAATGAATATTTTAGTTAATGTTTTAAAAACTGAACTAGACCAGACAGTCAAACCATTTGGATTGGGAACCGGTCAGGTCATTGGTTCCATTTTGGCCCTAAGGCTCAGTTTGGAAGGAGTACAAATACAAATATATACAAAATACAAGGTTTTGCACGGTACATATTTGCATTTGTACTCCTTCCAAACTGAGCCTAAACTACTATTTTGCAAAAAAAAGTTGAAATGGCCAAAGAATCGTTTGACTTGGACTGTTTAACCGTTAAAATGTTCAAGCCCGATTAACAGTTCTCAAGTTGCTTTCAAACTAATTCCAAATTTTTATTTATTTTAAAATAAAAATTAGAAAATAAAATTGAAAAAGAAACTTTCATGTCATAATCTTGTTCAATTATTCCCAATGGCCAAAATTATTTAGGGTTTTTAGTTTTTCAATTTTGATTTTGAGTTTTCTTATTTATATGATTATGTTTAAATTGTAACAACAAAAAATTTGCAACTCCAATGAAGAAATCAAAAAATCGATGCAAGAGATGAGAGGTTAAACATCAATCTTATATTTAGATAAATGAAGCAAGCAATTTGGGATTTGAGAGATATTTAGAGAGATGATAGAGATGTAAGAAGAAGGCAAACAATGTTGTAGTGGCGATGATGATGAACATGGAGATAGCTGCCGGCGGCGGTTCCTTCTTCTTCTCCTCAAGGCAAAACGGTTCTACAAGGACAACAACCGATGAACATGGTGACAACCACCTCCAACAATGCTTCATTCTCTTCTTCTTCCTCTCTTTCTTTTTTCTCACTTCTCAATTTTAACCAGTCGCCTCCTTCTCAAAGTCTCACACGACCCTATCATAACAATGTTACATTATATTTTACATCTTACCAGTTTGACCCGCTCAAATTGGACGGTTGAACCACTCACCCGGAAAACAAAAGCCAAACGATTCTATTTCTGGGTTGATTTTCAAGACCTTAATTTTAGTCAAAATAAAGTTCCACAATCTTATTCATATTTTTAATAGTAACTTAAATATAGAATTATAGACGTGTTCAAATTTTTCTATATTTTTTTTTGTATTTTTGTGTAAAAATAATTTTGATATGTCATACATGTGTCTGAATGCATATCTTTTTGCAAAATTTATGTTTTTTTTTGTATTTTTATAATTTATAAATTTATATTATTTATTTATGACATTAATGGTTAACATACATTTAAACCAAAAGTTGAACTATCTATTATTAATTTTTAAATTTCATTTTTTGTCAGTTCTAAATTATGTATTTCATTTTCATTATCAATAAAAATAATTCTTGTTTATTACACTTATTTTTTTATATTTTTTTATAAATTTCTCTATTTATTTCTATTTTAAAAGTTTGGGTGAATGACAAAGTCCCCCTATACTTTTTTGTGACAAAGACCCCCCTAAACTTTAGTCCTTAGACCAAAGACCCCATTCCGTTAATGTTCTATCATTTAACTTCGAAAAAATTTCATCCAACTGTTTAAAGTTTTTTAAATGTCCAAACTACCCTTTTTATATCGTTCATTGTCTTTCTTCATTCAAGTTGGGAGTCCGACTTCAATTCAGGCAGCTTCAGTCAGGGCACCGCTCGCACAACACAACAACGCACCACGTGTTCTTAAAACGTGCACATGTTTGAAACGTGCGAAGCGACAAAGTTGAAAGATTAAATCAGAAAACATTTGCAGAAAAATAATAGGAAAAGATAAAGAACCTTTTGACTCACCATGGCGTGAAAACAATCTCCTTAATCGTGTGAAGCGACGAAGACGTGATCGGACCCACCGCTTCAATTCCAGCATGGTATTTTAGATGAGATGAGTTGCACCACTGAAGCTAGAAGAGTCCGCGCGCGACCGATCGACGGGAATCCATTAACGGTACTGAAGTTACAAGACACGTAAACCGAAACGAAGAAGAAATAGGCTTCCCATGGATTGAGTGTCCGTACATCACTATCCAGCAATTGTGTGTGTATCACCATCTCCGCTGCAAAGAGATGGTTGCTACATCTCTTGTTCGATATCCAGTCCGTGTCGTATCTTGAAGGGAGCTCATAGATATAAACCTTTAAATCGTTGAATAATCCTACAGAAAATCAAAGAAAATAAATATGAGCTTAAGTAACCAAAGCAAAGAAATAGAAGAGAAACAAAACAAAATGGTCCAACCTCGAGATAGGTGCATGTATCTCATTCATTCTGTGTTGTTGCGAAACAGTCGTATTGCTTTCAAACAAGGCTCAAGAGACAAAGCTGTCTTTTGAAACAGAGACGGTGGTTTTAGGAAGCGAGGTGGTCTTGCTGGAGCTACTGATGAGGTAAGAGCTGAAGAAATAAAGGGACAAAGAAACCCAGAGAACCCATCTGAAATATCTGTAGTAGAAGCTCTTATCATGTTTTCCATTCTTGCTCAAGAGCCTCATCTTGACAAAGAACCCCTGCTCTTGGTGGTTCTTTTGAGCTCCACCATCTCATCGTATGTTTAAAAAATACAAGAGTTAGAGATGAGTTCAGTTATTGAGATGGGGCTTTCATTTTTTAGTTGGAGATGAAGTGAGGATGAAGACAGACATGGAAGGGATGGGTTGGTGGTGGTTCGTTTTTACATCATTTTTTTAACAGACGAAATCATTCTTCTTTTTATTTTCTTTTGGTTTCGTTGGTGGGTTCGGTTGGGTTTCAGTGTTTTTGTTGTCTTTCCCTTTTTTCAATTCTTTCTTTTCCTGCTCTTCTCGCAAAAAAACAGAGGAGGAGAGAGGAATCCAGCTTCAGGAGGAGTGCGTTTAATTCACCTCGCATGTTTCAAACACGTGCATGTTTTAAAAACACATGGTGCGTTATTATATTGCACGAACGGTGTCCTGACTAAAGCTGCCAGACTCTGAAGTTAGGTGAAATGGCATAAAAACAACTGTTTTGAAACATTTTATGGAAAACATTAACTGAATAAAGGGGACCCCTTTTACGACAAAGATGGGAAAAAGGATGAATTAAAAGACTTAAGCAAGACAAGATCAAGGCCATAATCGTGGTATGTGAAGTGGAATTCAAAAAAGAAGGAAAACAAGAGGTTAAATAGGTTTTAAGAGAAAAAGGGTATGAAAAAGAAAATAGAAAAAGTTTAGTGGGGTATTTTGGTAATTTAATATTTTCCGTCAACTAAGGAGGTTAACGTTTAGGGGGTCTTTGTTGCAAAAAAAAAGTACTGGGGGACTTTGTCACTAATCCCATAATACAAGGGGGGCCTTTGTAATTTACCTTAAAAGTTTTATTACCTAACTATGACTTCATAGGTTCATAAAATTGATTTGGATGGTTGAATTGTTTATCTAGCAATTGGATAAAGAATGGTTTTGTTTTTGAGTCAGTTTTAAAATATATGGTTTTATATTGTTAAAAATATTAACATAGATCTAATTAGTAGCATTTATTAGTGAAAAATAACTTAAAAATATAGGATTTAATAAGAGAAAAATGAGATTTAATACCTTAAGTATAAGACTTAATGAGAGGAGATTAAATGAGATGGAAAGTAATAATTGAAGTTACATTTTCAACCCTTACAA